ACAAGTGGATTACTTATAAATGATATTAGTGATCATCTACCAGTATTTTTGGTTTATGACTGCCACTTTTGGAAAGAGCGGCCAAAAACAAATCTTTTCTAGAAGCATCAGGTGACTTTCTTTCAAAAGTTTTAATATCATAATTCTCTTGTTGCTCCAGGGGACTGGTTATGATAGACCACCCTGTTTCTCTGTAATTCATAGTCAAATCTGTGTACCGTAATTCAGCCTGTGAATTCATAAATTAAGCTTGCTTTCAACATGGTCCAGTGTTTACTGCAAAATCTTGAGACTGTGAATATTCTACTTTCCAAATCATTTATTGTCATAGACTTCCACTGTATTGATGCCGAGGACTCTCTAAGCATCAGCTAATATTGTTTTATCTCCTTAAACAGGTGGGCCAGGATTGGTAGATCCTTGCGAAAAGAAGCCTGTGGACACACTAATGCCTATGGGGGAGCAACAGAGAGAGGATATTACCTCAAGTGCCCAAGTACAAGCTCTTGAATTATACATAAACTATCAAGCTGATTGAGACTTGACAAAATTAGATTGAACAATGCTTCAGGTGGTGAATATTTTAAATCAGAGAAATGCTTAGAAAAACAGATAAACCAAACTTCATAGTTAAATATAAGAAAGGAAGTGAATTTAGATTTTAATGATTTTCTTCAGTGCCAGTGGTCACTGTCTCTTGTACCTTTACAATATCATTAATTATAACCATCTGTTAATTGGCATCAAGATGTTACATTAACATCCAATGTGAATTTGTGTGGGGTTTTTTTTGTTCATTTTTTTCAGGTCTTTTAGAATGATTTGTGTAAATCTTTTAGTTGGATCTCTTCATAAATACAAAATGCCCTCAAGTGGAAGGTTTTCTGTGGCTGTCTTAGCTTATGGAGTAATTTTCAAATGTTCTTTATTTATTTCTATACAGTTTGCTCTGAGGTTGCTGGCATTTCGTCAGATCCATAAAGTTCTGGGTATGGACCCTCTGCCGCAGATGAATGCTCGTTTCAACATCCGCAACAGTCGCAAGCGTCGCCGTGACAACAGTGATGGGACAGACAGCTTCGAGGGTGAAGGCAAGAAAGACAAGAAGGATTATGATAGTTTCTAAACATCACCATTATTAATAAAAGGCGTTCTAAATACTAAAATGTACTAACATGCTGTATGCGCTTTCTCCTGTGTACTACTGGCTTCTTTTCTTTTTGTAACCACATGTATACATGGGTAATTGCAGTTAATTTGTCTACTGTTTTAGTTGTAGATTTCTTTGTAGAAAGTTGTTCAGACCTTTCTGTGTTATATAAAGCTGTTTTTACCTAGTGTGCTTCTTAAATTGAAGTGTTGGTAAAAGTGGCTTCACAAGTTGCTGCTCTAGTTTCAGCCATGTTCTGTCTGAATTTAAGTTTTGGGGGTAGGTGAGATTATTGAATCAAAATGGAGCTAGTCTCATCTGTACTGTGGAACAAGAGGAAAAGCAATTATAAATGTCAATGCCTTCATCTGTATAGCTGCATTTCAGTGCTAATCTTTTATTTGTGAAGCATTTATTTGACCAACAGTTTTTTTTTTTTTTTTATATTAAGTACTATGCTTAATGCAGTTGATGTTTGATGCTGTGGTGTTATGTGTCAGTGTTAACCTACACTTAAAGTAAGAGACCTGTGGGGCATTGCACAATGATTCCGAAGAACTTTAACTGTTGATAGATCTTTGTTAGTAATGAAGTTAAGAAAAGACCAGGCTCAATGATAAATTAGATGGAACATTGTGGGTGTGGGGTATGAATGTTAACACTATGTAATAATTCTACTTGTGTGGTGTAGAAGATAATTATTTAAGAATGTAATTATGTAAGATTGTTAACACTCTGTTGTAATTTTTTAGTATATTACTTGTGTGGTGTAGAAGAGAATTATTTATGTAGAGATACTGCTTGCAAACCAATGATGGTAAGATGATGCCATGGGGTAGGACTGGATAAGTCTAACTTCTTCCTACTCCGTTCAAGCATGTACTAGGTATAAGCAAATTGATAATGCATTTGTGGATATGTGTGAAATTATGTGTGTTGACATGTTTGAAAGAATAAATCAAATCAAAATCAACAATCTCCATACAAAAACTAAAACCAGCAGTGAAACGTCTCTATTCACAGTTAATATTCAATCACTGTCTCAATGTGGATCAGCTTTTACTGTACATCTGTGCCATAGACCTATGTTGCTGTTCAAAAACAATTAAAAACACATCAGTCAAAAATGCTGCTGCACTGGATGGCATACTTCTTCATTAGCAAACCCCAGACCCGAGCATGAGGAGCTAGTGAAACATAAACAAAGCAGAGAACTTGTGCAGTTGACTCTGACTAATGCTAACTTCAGGAAAATATGGCCGCTCAGAGCTTGGGGGTTTGTAATGAAAATACATGTCACCCAAGCCAGCGGTGTGGTTCCCTGGTGTATTGTTAATTGTTTCTGAATAAGAAAGGAGATCTATCCACAGACAAACAAGCTAATCCAGGACAGACAGCTTTCAGGCATTAACCATGAGTAAAGGCAATACATTGTTAGTTTTAGTGCCTGTATGAAGATTTATGAAAACACTATTGATAAAGAAAATGGTCAGCCTTATCCATTAAGTAGTCCATGTGTAAAGCAGAGACATTTGGGTTGAGAGAGTGTGTTTGTACAAGTTCAATGGGTTATCATTAAAAAGAGACTGAAAGAGAGGTTTTTATCTGTCTTTGTCTCATAATGGAACATATAAGATAAATATGCAGAGTGTGTGCTTGTCTTTCCTACCTTTTCTGACCCAGGCTGGCGTGTGTGCTTGGTGTGTCACAGTGTAACACGAGTGATGTTTCCCTTTGACCAGCTCATCCCATAGAATAATGTCTGCTGAATCTGAGTCCATCCTCAGGCTGAGTCTCTCAAACAGAGAGATCTGGGCTGAGTTAAAATATACAGCACTGACCTGAGATAGCACACACACAAGCAGATAGATCAGTGGCACTGATGAGGACATGAAGGCACTTGGCTCTGCTGTGCCTCCCTCCTACTTCTCTTTATTATTCTTTCTGACTTATATTTCTTTTCTGTTCTCATTCTTTTCATCACCTGTCCTCCAACGTCACCTATGGAGAGGATGGCCCGGTCTGGGTTAGTGGGGTCCACCCAGTAGTCTAGACACCAGGGAGTAAACTTCAAACCCTTGAGTAGAGAGGAAATGCTGTGTTATATTCCATATCCACTGACACCTTTCTCTGGATATATTTACTTTATTTGCTCAGTGAGAGTACAAACGTAGTGGCAAATGATTAGAATATATATTGTTATACAGAATATTGTCCTTTATTTCAGAAGAGGACTGCAGCTATAGCTGTTACCTGGAGTTTATACTTGCAGCTGAAGTCTTTAGACAGTGTGTCATAAAAACACAACTCCTTACTTGTAAATGACACAGCTATCTGAGAAAAAGAAGATTAATGAAACAGAAAAACAGGCAGCTAAGCAGTGATTAAACTCATCAATATGATGTAATAATGTTTTGACAACATCCTTGACAAACTGAACTAAAACCTCTTCATGTGTGTTACACAACTGGATCAAATCTGTCACCCTTAAATCAATAGTTTAACAAATGCTGTTGTGTGTCCCCATGAACAGACATGGCACTGATAGGGTCATTCCACAGAAACTGTTCATTTTGTGTGCCCAACATTTAAAAGCAAAAACAAGACGGCATAAAATTGTCATTATTGTTTTCAGCGGCTGAAGACATTCAACTGTGCTTGTTAGCATGAATAACAACAAATAAAACTGAATAATAAAGTTGCACTTGTTTTTAATGGTTTTCAGTTATAGTCATTTTTTCATGTCTGTTCTGACCATTTCTCACATTCATGTGCAGTAACACACAATGAATACTGGAAAATATGTTTTATTGCTGGTAACGTATCCTTCTTGCTCTGAAATAAAAAATTTTATCTTTGATTATGATAAAAAAAAAATCTTAAAATTCCAAGGTCCAAACTACATTTTTCATGGAATGACTCAGTAATCAATGAGCTGACTGACTGATCAGCTGTTAGTTATGACACTTTCAACCTTGTGGATGTTGTGCAGCAGCACCATGTCTGTGACCCACAGGTCTTTGGGTGCCACTGTGCTGTTCTGCAGCTGATATGTGTGCAGAAGGGACATGCCCTCTTCATCCCGCAGCCCCACTGCTCCTCCTTTACTCACGGTCAGATACTGACCTGAGCTCTGCAGGTACAACACCTGGGGAGACCAGAGGACAAATATGTGAAACAGCAGCTTTAAAGCATTTTTAATGGAGTTTTTAACATTTTAACATGATGTTAATTAGTAAAAAGGTTGGTATAGCTTTTAAAATGAAACTCAAAACATTTCATCTATCTTGTATTTCCCCTCCTAGCTGACTGCTCTATAGCCATAAAACTACACTAGAATAACCCCATTAAAAATGAGCTGCTCCCTAAATCGTTTAGTGTTTGGATTCAAGTGACTAGAAATGAGCAGGGCCATGTTCTCCTGTGCTAAAACCAATAAAAACAAAGAGGATTAATGAATGATAAGATTTTATTGGCTGAAAAAACTAAACTGGGAGCTACAGGAAAAAAAAGCTGGATCTGACTGTGTGATGAGAGAGAGACATCAAATATCTTTAATGAAAGAAAATGTTTATTAGTACTTTATTTGTCATTTTATTTAGTGTTTCATAAACATATTCATTAGTGCAGCTTTAAGCATATGCCTTGCTTTACTGATAGAAGTTAGAGTTTGCTATGAGACATTAGTCTGTCTGATCTAAGCCATAGTAGTTAAAGCCTTCCAGGCACTTGCAAAACAACTGACACAACATTCTGATGTTTTGACATTCTCAGGATTGAAAGATTAAAGTGGTGAGCCATCACTTTATCCACAGCAGTAGGCACTTTATACCCACTGCTTCATTTACATATTAATTGATAGATGTTGAACTTAAAGGAGTCCAGAGCCATTTATCTCAAAAGAGGTGTGCCATTTTGATGAGCAAGACCCTAATACTTTTGAGCATTTCCTCACTCAGTGTTTAATAATGTGAAATTCTATCCACTCAGCAGGTCTGGACTCTCCAGTTAGTCAATGTCAAAGTGTTTTCCAGATAACATGCTGCAATGGATCATGTGTTTAAAATAGGGAATATTCCCTAACCTTCATAGCATAGAGGTCAGTGACCTTTTACCTTTTGAACTGGGTCTCGATGTGGACAGGTCAGGGTGCGTGGTGGCTTCCAGCAAGGCACACTACTGGTCCTGCTGTTTTTTATTTTATCAGAAAGTTCCTGCAGTAGAAAGGAACACAGGCCTCCCCAGTCAACACGTCCTTCTTCCTTCATGGCATCAACATCCAGAAGTAGGCCGTGGTTGTCCTGAGTGGCAGCCACACTGTCGAACAGGAGGCCATATTCCTCCCTGGAGCCGCGACCTACTGAAGACCAAGCCAGGTTGATGAATTCGGTTCTGGATAAATAGCGAGATGCCCCGGAGGAGTCCTGGACAGGATTATGAGACACTGCACATGTCAGCACACAGATGAGCATCTTGTGCTGCAGACTGCTCTAGTGTTTGTAAAGCATTTCTTATGAGACCTAGGGGTGTAGTACTATAGGATGATACTCTCAGGTACAGCATAAATTACACCTTTCTTCTGTAAGGGGGTCCCATGTGAATTAAAGGTACTATAATATGAAGCTATTAATAAACTGACTTACTTACCAGGAAAAGGCTCTGTAGCTTTCTATAGTCCTCAGCGTTCATCCTGCTTTCAAGCTGCACCACCTCCCTCCTTGTTTCCATAGTGAAAGCTCAAATTTGTCAATCAATCACCTTCCTATCAGTCAAGGTCAGGAAGGTAAAGCATGTGTATGTAGGTCTGTGCTGAAGACTCACAGTCAGACAATAGATTCCCAACATTTCTAGGTGGTACATGATGAAACATGATGTTCTCTGCTCCCATGTGTGTTTCATGGTGGAGTGTCATGTCATCACAATCATACAGTGGAGTCACAGCAGCAAGAAACTTCTTTTGCTGGCTCTTTTCAGTCTATCCCAACATGCCTGTGTTGAACGGCAAAGATCTTTCATTTTCAACAAAAATTTCCCCCTAGCACAGTGGATTTTGAAGGGGGGCGAACAGGTCCCCAAATTAGGTTTCAAGGAGGCAACAGGCTGCCAAAGCATGTCAACTCTCTGTTAAGTCAAGTAATGTGAAATAAAAGATGTCAGGTAGATGAGCAGCATGAATAATAGCATGCATAAAAGGTAGGATTGGCCTGTACTGTGCTTTAAAGGTGCCTTTGAGGTCTACGAGAAAAATGTGAAATGATGAAAACACTACAAACGCACACACACACACACACACACACACACACACACACAGGGCAGCAGAGGACAGAAAACAATCTGTTTCCTTTTTAGCTTGACATAAACATTTATGAGACCTATTCATTGGAAGTGGCAACAAACTGAGCTGAGATTTAGGGTGTGTAATTAAAGCAAACATCCATGATTTGTTGAAGCTATTATCTGTTTAATAATGATGATTTGTTATGATACTTTCTCAACCTTTTATTTAGATCATTGACAACAAATAGTCCGCAACAGATACGTTTATGCTACAGTAATAAATGAAAAGAATTGTGAATACGTTGGGGACAGTTTGTTTATGAGTGTGATAACTTTTTAATCAACCTCATTCTGGTTTTTATTTTGTAGCAAGCAGTCTTTATGTGATTACTTGGGCACACTTTCTTAAAACAAACACAAAAATTAGCCCATAGTTTTAGCTGATGCATTATAAATATTGTTGTACAATTCTTTTAAGTGCTGAGAGAACTGCTTTCAGTTGTGTAATATGATAGAGAAAATTTAGAGACTGTTCATTGTTTGAAATACTTGGGTGTAATAATGAATTATAATGGTTCATTTAAGTCTGCTATCCAGGAGCAGTATAATCAAGCCTCTAGACCTATGTTTGCTGTTATGAGTAAATGCAAAACACTTTACTGGTAGACATCAGGCTGAATCTTCTTGATAGGTTATCAATACCAGTTATGTTAGACACATGTGAAGTATGGGGATTTGAAAAGGTCAATGCATTGGAAAAATTACATATGAAGTTTCTTAAACATACTTTAAAAGTTAAAATGTCAACCTGTAATAATTTAGCTTATGGTGAGATGCTATAGTTAAAAAGAGACTTACTGGTTTTTGGGGTGGGCTGTTAGGAGGTAAAGTCAAACTGCTTGTATTTTAACAGACTCTGCAATAAAGTTTATGATGGATTGATTGAATAAAATGAATGAATGAATGAAATGTTTCAAGACAGTTCAATAGAAAAACAACAAATGTAGTATAGTGCTGTCAAATCCATTGGCAAACAAAACCCACTTACCAGAGTTGCCTCTCGTGTTCATTGATGGCCGCTTGAGGTACTGTCAGTGCTCTCAAAATTGTCACAGCTGGATTTCAACCTAGGATTTATTACAGTTAGAGTATCACCAAATGCAGTCAAACTGTCTCAGTGCTAGGCTGTAACTGCATAATATTAGGCTGGCAACATCACTGTTAAGTTATATGTACCTCTCAAGTGTACATCAATCACCTGAAACATAATGACCACCTGTCTAATACTGTGTACATAGAAGTCAGTGCAGCGATTGGTAGGCATTTCGCTCTGCAGCTCACTGTGCACCTTCTGTGAATCTGTTTGCTTCCATAGTTCTAGTGTCAGGAAGAACACGAATGTGTCGACCATTCAGCGAAAAACTTTTGTAAAAAGGAGTGAAAACTTTGGTCATGAGGAAAAATAAGACACTTCTTTAGACAAATTCAACAGCCTCCCCACTCCAGCTGTGATATCACCACTATAACCGCTTCTCTTCATATAGACCAGTGTACAGTATCTCATTTCAGCCATTTAAACAAAGATTCTAACTAAATGGAATCTTTTGAAAAGGATGAATGAAATTTAAAAGTTTAATCTACAGTAGGTCAATATCATCATCAGTGAGCCTTGAGCGTCAATGACCCTGTCGCCGGTTCACTGCTTGTTCTTCCTTAGACACTGTTGGTAGGTACTGACCACTGCAGACCAAGAACACCCAACAAGACCTGCAGTCTGGGAGATGCTCTGACCCAGTTTGGCTCTTGTCAAATTCACTCAGATCCTTATGGTTGCCTGTTTATCCTGCTTCTAACACACCAACTTTGAGGACTGAGTGCTCACTTGCTACCTAAAATACCCCACACACCAACTGTCAGTGGTCACAATGATCAGTGTAAACATTTGCGTCAAGCAGCATTCCATACAGTTAAGTAAATCAATTCAAACTTACCAAGGTGTTTAATTTCATCCTCAGTCCACAGCACACTGCCTCAGAGTCCCTATACTTTTAAGACGCTGAAACATGTTTTTTCTTTAAATCCATGACATTTCAAACAAATCCTCAGCCTATAGCTGGTTTGTCTTGGCCAGAAGAGGCTCAGCTGGTTTCAGGAGCCCGAGCTTAGTGTGCAGAGGTTTGTCCAAGCCAGCGATGCCTGAGGAGTAATCACCACTAACAGCCCTGCAACGCACACACCCACAAAGAGTTAAGTAACTGCCCCCCAACTAGCCCAGGCAGTGGCAGAGGCCACACACACTTACACACAAGTCTTTGCTTTTATTATCCGTCACTCTCAAAGAGTCAAGCTAAGTTTCCTGGCAACCAAGTACTCAAAAAGAGTTGTGTTTGTGTGTCTGGGCCCTATCGTTTGTATGTACCACAGTGTGTGTGTGTTCCTTCTATTCACAGATTAGGCACTGGAGAGAAGATAATCTGTTGGAGAAACAATTACTCTCTATGCAGACACACACCATAGCTACAGCAATGCAGTTCACAAAAACATTAGTATTCTATTGCCACTCATAATAGTGAAACAACTAAAAGAAACTGATGTGAACCCGAACACAGATAATACATAGCGCTTTATGGTGCTATCCAAATGCCTTTGAGAGGGCAGCTTCTGGGCCAGTTGTAGCTACACACACACACACACTCAACAAAGGAAGACAAAAGTCTCTTCGGGATCTGTTAAACTGAAACAAATAGACTGCCTGTATGAGTGCAAGCATGAATACCCACAAAAGCTTTACATCCAGTCCAGATATTATCATTTCCCTTTCTCCCTGCTGCTTCAGTGACCACAGCCAATTGCTGCGTGAGACTTAATGGCCTGGAATAACTTGAATTAGCTGATTATGGCAGTCATCAACAGTGACAGGATCAGAAAATTAGGTCTCAGCAATTTCAATAATAGAGCTTTAAAAATTAACACTAGCACAATTGGATTACAGTGGTGCAAGTAGGAACCAGTACAGAGCCCAGAATAGCGCACCACAAATCCACCATGGAAAATCCACTCATACAAGAAGAAGAATGAAGTTGTTGGAATGGGAAATTAGGATGAATCTTAGCTCTGGAAGGAAAGAGGTGCAGTCAAAAAAAAAAAAAAGAGACAGCAAGAACAACTCGGCAGGAACGGAGCACTTTCATACAACAATGCAATTCTGAAGGAAGACCCAGTTTTGAAAATCCTTCCCAAATGCTAGAACTCATTTACTAGCAATAAACACCACATATTCGTGACTCTTGTTTAAAGAACTGATTTGAAAAAATATCTGGTCCCTTTATTTCAGATTTGGTTGAAGAAACAATGTCATGGCCACAAAGAGTGAAAACAAAAAAAAAAAATATATTCATCAAATATTTTTGTGTAAAGGTTACAATGTGACCTCCATTTCAATTTTCTGCTTCAAATTCCTTGACATCTACATAGCTGTAGAAATGTTTTAAGCCCATTAGTCTAGCATCTAGAGACAAGTGACAAATGAAAGGAGAAACGAAGTGTCTCAGGAAGGTGCTGGGCCACCAGAACAGCTTCAGTGCACTTTGGCATTGATTCAACAAGTATCTGGATTCTACTGAACACGGTTCTTCCAAAAGGTATTCCCTCATTTGGGGTTTTTAAGATGGTGGTCATCAAACCAATCAGTGACCCCTCGTGCCCTATGGACAGGTGCGCTGTCATCCCGGAAGGAACCAAACATTTATTCTGCTCCTTCCTTTAATTTGTCTGTCACTTTATGGGGAAACAAGAGAAATACGCCAGTGAACAATAAGTCCAAAGTTTATTTTTTATGGTAGACTGACATAAATACATAAACCCTCTGAATACTCAAAAAAAAAAATCATAAGAAAAAAAATGGCATTCATACTGTAAGTTGAACCACACACATCTCCACAGTAAAGCTCTAAAATGTGACGGTTAATCACAAGTAGATAGTATTTTAGAGGCTCACAAGAAAAAAATTGCAAGGGGAAAAAAAACTGCCATGACACATACACAAAACCTCACCCCAATTTTTCATTACATTAAAAAAGGGCATGTGTTACTTTATGCGGCAGTCTGTGTAATGTTCACATATATTTCTGTAACTAAAGTGAAAAGAAGGACAAGCCAGCTCGTGAGCTGGACAGGTTGTAGGCACTGGGTAAAGCAGCACAGACTAGAACAAAACAGGACAAAGACAGCAAACCGTCAAAACGGTCTCCATTTAAAATTTCCCATATGTTTCCTGACAGCATCTGAACATCAGATCAAATTTAATTAGAACATCATATTAGTGCCAGGTACAGATACCACTGTATGTTTTTACAAGCAGAAATGAAAATTAAGCTAAAGTCCACATATGTGGCAATGTGCTTGGAAAATGAACTTTAACTGTAACTTTTTTAGACTTTTGCAATTCCCAATCTTTTAAGGACATGAGACATAATCAAATTTTTCCTACACAGTACTGAACATCGACCTGTCCAGGGTGCACCTCGCCTTGCCCAATGTCGGCTGGGATTGGCTCCAGCCCCCTGCGACCCTATTCAGGGTAAGCGGTACACATAATGGATGGATGGATGGATGAATATAGAGAGAAATATAATGAAGTATTGACTCATGAATCTGAAAAGAACAACATAAAAGGAAGTTAAAAATCTCTGGAAATTAGTGTCAACCTGATTTGCTTTGAAACTCAAACTACCTGATTGTCCCACAAAGCTACAGACCTATAAATTATACAGCCTAAAATAATAAAATGTCCTCAATGATTACAAATCCTCTTATCACCTTTGCTCTAATAGAAACGTCTGTGTGTCTTCTCAGGCTGCTACACCACAGTCCCGAAGGCCTGCAGGATCATGTTGGTTTGGTGAGTGAGCCGGTTGGCACTGACAAACACGTTTATCGTTCTGGAAACAACCGTGACAGAGACACAAGGACATGTGTGTCAATCATACAGCAAAGAAACCATGGCAACAATATTAGGATTGATCCAGGAAACACTTTGATCTGGCTGGTGTGGAGACTGTCAGGCTTCAGAGAACACAAACCAGCGTGAATCCACAGGAAATGGGTCAGTGTGTGTGTGTGTGCATACACAAGTATGTCTGCACGCTGGTGCGTGTGTGTACAACTGCTGAATGTGCTGATGGGTGTGTGCCCATGTGAAAAAGAACCGGAGACAAGACAGAAAAAGAAAAACAACTGAGCGAGAAACGTCCTAAAACAGAGAACAAACTAGAAACAGTGTCATACTTTCCATCTTTGAAGTAGGTTTTGAGAGTGTCGCTGAAGCTCTTGGAGTATTTCACAAACTCTTTCTTCTGCTGTTCCAGTGCCTAACCAATGAATACAGACAGCCTTTCAGCTCCACTTATTTCACAGAAACTGTGCTTGTATGTATGTAGTTTTTCTCCTTCATGCATATACTTACCCGTCTGTTCTGATACTGGTATTTCCTAAACACAGTATTGACTGTGTCTAGCAACTCCTTGATGGCACTGGCGATGTCTCTGTGGGTGATACACACACACACACACAAATGAGGGGTTTTTTAAGAAACAATATATCAGAACTTGTCTGTCGTTATCAGGCAGTAATACCCTGAAACTGCAGTTCTCTGATCCCACGCATTGTCTCCCTTTCGTCCCCAGCCTATTCTCACAAACGTTTTCACCTTCAACTTTTCTCCCCCTTGTATGCACTTGAAATCTGCCGTTTCATAACTTTCATTTTTTAGCATTCCCTTTGAATTGATTTCTAAGCTGTCCGCTGGGTAAGAAACTTAAGCAGTGACTCACTAAGAGAATTGAATTCGATCAAAATAATGGCAAAGTGGGCCAAGAAAATGAAATGTCTCTTTCTTTCTTTCTACACTGGCCTTGAATTACTCATATTGTGAGGACATAAATCTGTTTACACAGCCACACTGTGGGACTCGCCTTCCTTTTAGCAGACAAATCCCATGACATAAATTGTTACATTTTAGGACGAAGACTTGTTTTAAGGTTAAGGTATGGTAAGGTGTCATTGTTTCATAACAAAAGAAATGTCTTATAATAAGATCAGCATCTGTGCATGTTTGGGTTGTATGTTTTAATGATTTGATTACTAAACTTGCAGTAAGTCATGACACCTTAGCCAGTCCCAATGGATGATGACAATAACATGCGACTGAAAGCCAATTCAGTTGAGAATATGTTCTAACACTTACCCCTCATTTCCACCGGACGCAGCTGCGTTGTGTTCTGTCTTTGGTGCAGTTTTGATCCGTCCTCTGTATTTCATCCCTCACTGGGTGTTTGTTGTGATGCTGATTTTATGTGTAGGCTATTTTTCATCATTTTTGAGTTTCTACAACGGGTAAGTAAGCTTTGTAGTTAAATAGTTTTATTTTTGTCTGTTTTAATTGTGTTCATTGTTCTTATTTCCCACTTTGTTGTGCTGCAGCCTTCAGACACAGACTACAGTTAACAGATCAATTTAATTTAACAGTTACAGTTAAGTTATTATGAAGCACAGATCAAAATTTTGTGGCTGTTTTAGTTGTTAAAAAAATTCATCCTGATAATTATTTCATATGTTTTGCATACAGTGCCGGTTGATGCTGGGATGCGACTTGTTGGTAGGCCATGACCAACTAGCGCTGCCTGATTGGCGGGTCGAACCTTGTCAGAAGCATCCCAGAACCTGCATCTGTCAAAAATAGACTAGATGCATATCTTTAGCGAAGCGGTGCGGAGAGACGCATCTGGGATGGAACGCAGCTCAAGCCAGTGGAATCACAACCACTGACTAATCTGGAAGCGGTCGCCTCCGGTGACCGTGTCACAGCCACATCCTGTGGAAACGAGGGGCTACTGATATACATTCCAATGCACTGGATCTCTTACCTGATTTGATTTCACTTCACCTTGTGTTGCTACTTAAAAGTATTTATATTAAAATACTGTAAGTGATTTTTGACCAATTACTGTAAAATTCAATTTGAACACAATAATCAACTGCAATGACTCTTCCCACTGTTTTGTTCACTTACTATATACAGCACACAAACAACAAGTGTACCAGTAGAACAAACGACTTATTTTTTGTTTCAACTCATGGTGTGATCAGAGCATGTTAATTTTCACCTCTTGTTATTCGCATGAATTTGACCACTGGGCTGTTTGTGCAGTCTGTGCTTATTCATCCTCAACTACTAATTTATATAGATGTCACATGTCTGGAGTGTACCTGTGAGGGTGTTTGTGTCAACTCAGATTGACCTCAAAACTCCCCTAAACTAGTGAAAGATCTTCAACTCATGCTGACTCGCCTTCATTATATTATGTAGAATTAAACCTGGTGTATGTCACACACACTAAGCTGTCTTACTTGATGGTCTGTAGGAAGCCTACTCTGTCAACGATCTCATCTGGGATGGTGCTGAGGATGCGTTTCAGAGCGCGGGCCCTCTCGTTTAGCTCCTGAAACTCTGGCTCTCGCCTGTTAATCACAAACTCTGACAACACAAAGAAGAACAGAAAAATACAGATGCCAATCCCCTCAGTGACTGGTATATCAGCACACATGCACACTGCTACAGGTGACACTGAAATGAAAATTAATAAAAGGTGGCACATGTGAAAATCCCATCTACAATGCAAATGTATGTAAAAGAATACGGCTCAACTATATGTGTGTGCACATATACACGTGCTTTAAAGGGGCAGTGTTTAGTTTGTTACACAAAGGCAGGATTAAGGTTTGAATTGGGCTGTGCTAAGCAGGAGGTATGTTTATCCAAAATGTGTGCATGTGAATTCATTACTACCATCAATCACTGTACATGGCACAAGGAATTAAATTACAGACAGAAGGGAAAGAACATTTGAGAGTTGTGTGAGGAGTCCATTTGTGGAGAAACAGCTCCCCCCAGTGGACAGTTGGGCTAATGTGATATGTGCTTTAATGTGCTTTTTTATAACCGATTTACTGCAAGTAATGCTTCCCTCTTTGCATGCACCATTCACTGAGCATCCTACCTTCCACGTCAGCTGCGGCCATGCGAAGTAGTGACTCACTGTAGCCGATTCTTAAGTTCTTCTTCTCCAGTATTTTCACAACAATGTCCTGGGTCAGACCTGGGTTCTCCTTCTCTGCCTTGAAACAGAAGTTTTCAATCACAGTCAGCCTTCATCTTCTGTGGCACAGAAATTTATCAAGTCCACAAATCAACAGAAATGTTGATAGTTTAACATAATTTAGAAAGTAAAGGTATGGACCAGAGGTGAACAGTAACTAAGTACATTTACTCAAGTACTATACTTAAGTACAATTGTGAGGGATCTGTACTGTACTTGAGCATTTTCATTTTCTGCTACTTCATACTTCAACTTCAGTACATTTTGCTGAAAAATATTGCACTTTTGACTCACCACTTTTATTTGATAACTTTAGTTACTAGTTACTTTTCAGACTGACATTAATTAAACAAAATACACTATAACCTTAAGACTTTATTGATACCTGGTGGGAAATTCACAAGCTACCCAACAGTATGTAAAGTACTTCAAAGTATAAGCATATAAAGTAGTTAACATTAGCTCTACCTTTACCAGCTGCAGCATTAATTGTGATGTACACAATAATTATAGTCCAATAACGTGATATACTGTGATATACTGTGAACTGAGGCACTCTGCATAATGAATTATTTTACTTGAAGTATATTTTACTTTTACTCAAGTACAATTTGAATGCAGGACTTTTACTTGTAACAGAGTATTTTTACACTGTGGTATAGCCACTTTTACTGAAGTAAACAATCTCAGTACTTCTTCCATCCCTGGCATCGCCAGAGTCATTACAAAAAACAAGATGGCAGTTCATTCTACAAAGCATAAACTAACAAAAGAAAGAATTTCTTACCTTTATAAAGGCTGCTCTCAAGGTTTGTGCTGCTGCTAAGTTGACCTGCTCCAACTGCAAGTTATAAAACACAGACAAACACATACAATATCAGCCCAGTAGCGCAAACCGCAAACCACACACACACACACACACACACACACACACACACACACACACAGCTTAGCTCGTCACTTCCTCTTATATCCTGGAAAATAACTCTGCACAAAGTCAATACAAGCCAGGCATCCTACACTATCATAGAAGAGCAGTGTGTTGTTGTTGTAATGTAAAAAGCTGTGTTGAGTTCATCCGATTGTATTCTCCATCTAAACTGCAGGAGAATTTTAGTCTATTCAAATCCTCCAAACTGTTGTTTGGGTATTACAGAGCTTGTCACTATTTCAAACTTGAACTTGCACACTGCATAAGTTTGAAATTCAAAACTCAAAGTCCTACCAGGCTTCACCAAAACAATACAAAAACACAGTTGGAGAGGGGACACACAAGAAAGGAGACAGAGGGCTGGGAAATGGAACTGGCCAGTGCCACAAAGCCACGAGCCACCATAAAAAAAAAAATTTTACTTTCCTGCACAATATGAAATTGTCCTGCACCATAAGTGTGTGCGTGTGTGTTTGACCTATTGATTTGCCACGTAAAGAGCATAGATGTAGATTTTAAATTGCTTTCAGTACAAACTGATATGCAATTTGCCTGATAAATGAAACCCGCTGTTCTGTTTTCAAGTGTGTGCAACCGCATACAATATTGTCTATTGATTTTCTTTGGCTTGTCACTTTTGACTTAACATTTGCACAGCACCTCTTGACACTCCTGTGTTGTGTATATGCCTGCGTAGTTTATTGGTTGCAGCATTTGGACATGTACCATTTGCATTTATAGATTCCTTTAGAATAAGCCAATAACTAGAAAATATTAAATACACTATGGTGTGGATCTTAAATGAACATGTGAATACAAATATAATAATAACACAAGTCTACGTACATAACTTATCAAAATTATGGAAAAACATAACCTGCAGGGATGCACAGCCACCCAGAATAACCTGTCTTCCACATTTCTGTCTCAGATCTTGGCTTTGTTTATTCCCTTTTTTTAACCTCAGCTTAAACTCTGCATTCTTTACCTGGTTAAATACAGGATACATCACAGAGTAGAGAGCCATAGAAACTACTGAGGCTATGTCGGCTTCATTCTTCATGTCTTCCGTGTTCATCCTTGACCAATCAATGGGCCTTTGTGTGCGTGCTTGTCCGCTGATGCCAGTTCCACTGCATTCAATCACTCACTGGGACTGACAGAATGGGAGCAGACAAGAACCTGAAGAAGAGAGCAGCACAGGTGAAGGAACAGGGAGAGATGGATGGTGGTGGATGGAAATGAGAGAGTAGGAGAACAAGCAAAAGCTTATGGTTACAATCAGAAATCAATTTACATACTTAAATTTGTGGCATTTAGATGTTCATATATTGAATAGAGGGGACAGGAAGTTGGTTAAATGAATAAAATTTGTTTTCATAATTATTCCAGCAATGCATCAACTCCTTTCTATTATATGTCATAAAATCTCGTGTACTACTTTCCAGAAGGCCGTTCAATACTAATCAACATACTGTATGAACAGCCACACTACTGCAGAGAATGTTCACTGCTCCAATAGGTGCAAGGGCACCAAAACTGGTGTGTGTCACACATATATAAAGAACACCCTCTCCAACACTATTACTGTAATGACAATATAAATGTGATAGAACCTTGGCTTCAGGGAAACAGTAAATCAGGGTGGTTAAGAGACATATCTACGACAAGAATCTGCCTTATTGGCCGGGTGTGTCGGACACACGAGGAATTTGACTCTGGTGCATCGGCTCTCAATGTGTACTGTATGTACATATTGCCATGCAAGGGGCAAGTAAACAGCAAAACCAGCATAAGGCTGTGTAATATAACATAATAAGCAGTATTAACAGCAACAAACAGTGCAAACAATGCAAAATAAGCAGTATAAACAGGCAGTAAACAATGCAGACAAAGGAATGCTCGCTGAAATGAGATAAATAGGAATAAAAATACAGTACTTCAAAATAGAGACCTGTACGGATCTGTATAATCTGTACAAAGTATAATCACAGGTATTGCACTGAGGGTTATTGTCCAGTCATACTGTCGTTGGTCAAGTGTTCTTCAGGGTGACAGCCTGAGGGAAGAAACTGTCCTTGTGCCTGGTTGTCTTGGCGTACAGTGACCTGTAACGCCGTCCAGGGGGAGGAGTTCAAACAGATTGTTTCCAGGGTGTGAGGGGTCTGCAGTGATCCTCTCCACCCTCCTGAAGTCCACTGTCACCTCCACTGTTTTGAGCGTGTTCAGCTCCAGGTTGTTGCGGCTACACCACAGGACCAGTTGCTCAACCTCCCGTCTGTAGGCTGACTTGTCACCGTCTCGGATGAGACCAATGACCATTGTATCATCAGCAAACTTTAGGAGCTTGACAGAGGGATCCTTCAAGATGCAGATATACGCTGTGTTGTGTGTTGTCCGCTCACACCTGTATCTCGCACCTTCAGGACTAGTTTTTACCAATGTTTGCTTTATGACGCCTTTACAGGATCTAACAGGGTGTCATTTTTCATCACACTCATCACACAACAGAGCATTTACAAAAAAGCAAGGACACAAACTCTACATACCGTGTCTCTGCTCCTGAGTGTGATTACAGTGAGTCATCATCTACTGATGTGACAACGTGAGGCTATATCTCCAGCTATCAGAGGGATCTTTACTTTGTTTTTTTTTTACAAGCTTTAATTTGCCTTTTGATGCCTAATATAAAACAAACATTATGGAAACAAATGGGTCCAGTGGGATAGTGTTTCTTATTATCAATAGCTGACTGGGATTATGATTGTCGTATAATGTTAAAAACATATTTTAATCCAGCCAGATTCTTAATAATTCAGTTAATAATCACAGAGGGCTGGCAAATACATAAACATATAAACATTGAAATGCCAAATCTATATTCAATTTGGACAGGATATTTCTTGGCCCAATATGGGGTCAAAGTTAAATCTTATATGTGTGTGTGTGTGTGTGTGTTCATACTGTATAGTGTTGTATGAACTAAAATACATACATATGTGTTTTTTTATTTTGGGCACAGATGTGTAAAAGGCCCCCACCTCTCCTACTATGGAGCTTTGTCATTGTGTCTCTTTATGATTGTTTTGCATGTATTTGCAGTGTCTAGTTGTTTTGAGTCTTTTGTAATAATTTTTACTTCTTTGCAGTCCCTCTATTTGTTGCAGCTGTGTGTGTCTGTGCACTAACTTTGTGCCTCTTTATGGTTGTCTTGTATCGTTTTCAAGTTATTTGATTTTCCAACAACAAACAAAAATGTTAACTGTCACTTCAACCGAGGCTCTGGCCCCCCTAAACCCTTGGGCCTGCGCCCATTTGGCCCGTTCGGTAATCCATCCCTGGGTCAAGCATCACAGTTTTGATGTAGTTGTAATGTTGAACCAAATTATTGTACTTGTTCCTGAAATTCTGTGGTGCGCACTAGCCACTGAAAAACTCTTCCAGTTTTAATAAATACACAATTCACCAGTCTTTGTGGTAGCAGTCAACTGAGAGTGAGAGGTGACGTTATAAAGCCATAAGCGCTGTACCTCAACAAGCTTGCCACTTAGCTAAACTAACCGGAAATTCATTTCTCTGATGGATTTGCAGCATGACACTTACCTGCGGTGAGACAGCTGCCCGTGATGAGAATACAAAACTGACAGCAGGGACGCGGATAATGTTGACAAAAAACTAGCACTTACAGGTAGCCTGCTAACATGAGATTAGCGACAGCAGGTGACCAGCTCCACCTTTAGCTAACTAAGCTACTGCAGTGTTATATCGCTAGCTGAGTATCTGATAAAAACACAACGGTACTGTAAAACATATATAAAGCGCAGGTAGTTATTTACCCCAACAGTCTATTGAGCTCCTTCTTGTTGTGGTTGTTGTCTCATTCAGGAAGTTTTCTGCCTGACAAAAGTTGAAAACGGGAGTAGGCGGTGTTAGGAGCTGTTCCGTTGCTATCAGCCAAAAGGCTGTTTGTAGTTCTTTCAGTACGTCTCCTCCATGTTTTGTAGCGGAATGGGCACGATAATAGACTACAAATCCCAAACAGGTACAGGTAGCGTATGTCAACTTTCGTTGACAGAAACAAGTACCACCCATTGACCATGTTTGCTTTGATCCACTGTAAAGAATGATCAATATATAAAAATATCTGAGATATATAGAAAATATGTTTAGAGTTAGAACAACAACAACGATGTTACCTAAGTGCATGAAATTAACGGTTGCATTGTAACTATTATGTCAAGATAGTTTTCTACCAGTTTCAACATACAGTAGCCAATCTAAACGAATAAATTGCAACACACTTTTGTACTCGCTGAATATGCTAACCGTTGTTGCGGGCTAATTTAAGTTCCGCTATGAAGCTAAAAGGGCAGTCAGATGGAGACAGGTGCAATAAAATAAGTTGAATAAAAATACTGAGCTGTACAACTCAGTGTATTTGTAACATACTTTTAGTGATCCACAAGATCGAGAGAAGGAGGGTCAAAAGGTAAACTACATTTAATATTCGTAGAATCAATTACGGAAACAAGACCGAGTTATTTATTTCGTTTCACTTCAATATGCTTGGGTCGATTTTCAATTGACCAATCGGCGTAGAGGGGGCGTGGTCTGCGGCAGCCGAAGAAGCAGCGAGCTGAGGCTCTGGAGGAGAGCAGCAGAGGCAGAGACCGCACACATCCATCTCTACCTGACACCGTTTAACGGTAAGAGCCGTTTATGACATAACCTACAGCCGATTCCTTCACAAAGCCTATACTGATTTATCGAAATGACCAATTTGGAAGATAAACCTCAGCTGGTCAGCTTTTGTAAGATCTCCCATATAAAAGGTTTAATTTCTGAGTTTTTCATAAAATTGTTTTTAGGAAGGTGAACGAATGTGTAGATGCAGGCTAATCGGGACATTTTTATGGAATAGTATAACAGGATTACGAGGCTATAGTCAACATGTGTGAGCTTTTAATAAGGAGACAGATGGAGACGCACATTGGACCCAAACATTTCTTAAGCCTATTTGAATAAAGCCTTGTGTCCAGTACCCAAGGCTGTTTATTTTTGCCCGCTGTCTGCGATTACATTGTTTGTTTTGAACCCTTTAGCAGTTTTTTTTTTCTGAGACCAGTTTAGGGATTGCAGTGTGCTTCTTGTCCTTGAAATACAGGCAAAGGCGCAGTGAGTGAATGTGTGTGAATTAACGAGGCAGGCTGTAGTAGCCCGGTCCAACCCAATCCCCACCCCACAAACACGCACACCACTTGTTATTCCTCCATAGCAGGTCTGTGTATGTGCGTGGTTTTGGTGAAAATTCATATAGTAACAGAGGCCACTGCTGGTTCGGGAAAGAAATCCTTTGTATGTTAAAGATTTAATGATGTATTTATGTGTAAAAATGTCATGGTGTCTCAGATACTGATGGAAAAACAGTTTGATGATTCCATTTTTTTTTTATAAAAATGTTGTTAAAGTAGCAAATAAACCATACAGACCTAAACCAATATTAGTACATTTCCATTACAGATTTACCACTGTCATTGTGCACTACACTCTATGAATCCTTACAAGAATGTTTTTACCAAGACTGTCCATTGTCACATATCTTATTATGTGATAGTGATATAATCCCAAAACATGGTCAATCATAAACAATTCAGTGTTTCTGATGTCTCATTATCTCTGCAACAAATGACTTCCAAGTCCTCATATAAGGCCCATAGTTCTATCAACTCCATATTCAGAAAAGCTGTATCCCTTTCCATCCTAATCAAAATGTATTAATATGCATCTGAATCATTTGGTTAATCTCTATTGATATATAGCCTGCTGCATCCCCCCCATACCATGTGGCTGCTTGTGTGTGTGTTCTGCCTATTCCCACTGAACGCTGCAGTAATTGCATTTCAATAATTAAATGTCTTTCAAATCTAGTCTAGCGAAAGAACACAAGTAGGGAAGGGAGAAGACTGGGTTTGAACACTGTGAGCGTGTGCTGTACCATAACCTTCCAAATCTATGTGTGTGCATGTGCGGGAGTCTTGATTCGTTTCTGTCAGTTACATTATGCTGTTTGAATACCGGGAGCTCTGCAGCTGTCTGTCCTAGACCAGATATTCTCTCAAGCTTCTCGTGTCCAACAGTATGAAATTAAGAGAAAGGCTGAATCTGTCTTTGCCATGAAATATGTTTTTGTCCGTGGTTACTGAATTTAAATGTGCTGAAAATGAACAAAAGGCTGACAGTGATCACCATGAAAAACTGTTTGTCTCCTAGAAATGGAATTCACTCTGACCCAAAAAAGCACACATTAAAGAGTAGTGTGACAGTTTAAATTATACATTACATTTACAGCTGATTTTCTTTTGCATTATTTACTCTTTTCCCTTCACTTTCTAATTAAACTCACAGATACACATACACACTCAAGCGGTACAATGTCCCCTGTACATTCTGCTGCAGCAAAGACACGGGGGATTAGTTCGGATCTGGCCAGACAGGAGGCTGGGTGAGCGCAGAGAAGGAGGTCAGGAGTTACATCAGAGAGATACTAAGAACAAATCAACACGATGGAAATGAACTGTAGCAAAACAGCAAATTGTTAATATCCTAAACCAATACATCCACATTGATATTAAGTTACTTTTAACATTTGAAAAACAATAAATTTCAAACTACTTTTTTCTTGCAAGTGATTTTAAAATTTTCAACAAAACCCAACTCATAATTGTACAAATTAAAAGGACCTGCCAATTCACAACAGTCTTTTCAAGTGCCTCACACCAACTATTCACAAAAACTACACACACACATGCACACACTGTGGAATCAATCTGTTGACTGATTGGTGGCATTGAGGGGTGGGCTCAGTGTAAAAGCAGGAAAGATGAAAGAGAGAGCGAGATCTCAGTGATTAGCCTTTTTTTTTTGCTTGTGCAGACTCTATAGCTGTAGGTGAATGGCTCAAATACCAAATCAATTTGAATTATTCTGCTAATTGTCTCACTTGGCCCTATCATTGTGTATATCTCAATCTGTTTTATACTTGTTCGCTAGCTAACATTTCACCCACTGAAGCAAACCAAATAATCACAGTTCAGTGTGTGAACAGTTCAGACACCCTTATTTTCACCCTGCCATCTTCCTGCTGTCTCCATCTCAGCCTCATCACCTGGCTGTCACTTCTTAATCAGCATCGCCTACTTCGTCGCCCTTTCTTACTTCTGTTACCGTCCCGAACACACACACGCGCGCACACATTTTCCCCCAGAGGAGTAGTTGATAATGACCCTTCCGGTGCTCCAGTGTCTCTATGGTCTTTAGCCCTTTTGAAAAAAAAAGCCTTTTCACTTTTCCCGCTGACCCCAAATAGAGGCCGATCCAATTACAGCTCAAACCTCCTGACTGTGCTCCCGCAGCATTGGAGCTGTTAGTGTATGTGTGCCTGCATGTGTTTTTCTGATACAGTGAAGGAAAAGAGACACTGTTGTCTTGGCAGCGTGTGGGGAGCCAGTTAGGTTCAGCACCAAATCTGGTATCTGCATGGAAGCGGCCTGTCTCCCTGCCACTGTCTATCTGCTTTTCTGTGTTTGTTCCTCTCTTTTTGCTTATTTTCTACCCACGTCTTCCTCGTATTTGTTGGTTTTTGTCTCCGCTCATCTTGCTTCTCCTCTCTCAGTCTGTTTGGCTGTATTTATACCTCTTTATCTGTCTGCGTGTGTGTGTGTGTCTCTCCCTCCGGGTGTCTCTGTTAGCAGAGATTAATAAAAGGCTGTTAACCTCTGTTTCCCCTCTGTGGAGTGTACAGTGAGCACCCTGGGACTGCAGGCAGGTTTCATAGCTTGTTATGTCATTTTCTAATAAGGGGCTGAAAGAGCTATGGTGCTGACCTGAGGATGGGCTGTAGATACTGTAGGTAATTTTGTGTGCCACAGGAATGGATATAAACTGCAGGGGTAGAATTTAAAAGTAGAACAGTTGTTGTTAGTCACATATCCTAAATTTCATATATCAAAGACACTTCTTTGCATCACATATACTGTAAAATCATATCTATTAGCATGTTCTTAGACTTCTAGTTTAAGCCTTGTAAATAGGCAGTGGTGGAAGACATAGGCTACACCAAGCCTGTACTTAAGTAAACATGCCAGTAGGCCTATAAAACACAGTAGAAATACTACTCCTACATTCAAAAAATTACTTATAGTATATAAGAGTACAGAAGTACCAGTTGTTCTGCAGCACCCTCCGTAGCTCAGTCATTATGACACGGCGCACCATGTGCCCAGCAGCATGCTGTGTGCGTGAGGTCGATGGACTGAGTCCGGCCACCGACATTTGTCAGAGGTCTCCACCACTCGCTCTCTGTCTACCCTGTTTTTTGTCCGCCTCCTCACGAATCACTATAAATAAAGGTTAAAAAGCCCAAATTTAACAAAAAAAATGTATGAGTGCTTCCCATCACAAGGAACCAGCGGACTATAAATAAAGCTGAAGAGATGATGGGAGAGGAAATAAAAAATAAAAGCTTTTCTGCACAAATTTATTTGTATGTTTTTGTAGAATGCTGGGGACAAATCTCAGGACAAACAGCTATCAACTCAGAGACATTGGGAACCTGTGACACTGACATAAAATGGAAGTAAAGTACAAATACCTCAAAAATGTACTTTAAGTATAGTACTTGAATAAATGTACCCAGTTTCATTTGTCAGCTGGTGCACTCACCTGACAGCTTTTTGGCAGAGTGTCCAGTATTACTGCTTTGTTTTGCAGAATAGGTTGTTTCTGTGAGTTTGCCATGCACTGGTGAACTACTGCTACACCCACAGCAGTCACTAGAAATCCCAAGCACTGTGTCGTGGGTGTGCCAGAAATCCTAGAAAGATGGGAGATTGCCATACAAATCAAACACTGCGTACCCTATAAGCGATACTGTTTTAAAGGGACTGTGGTATTTAGATATTTAACTCTGGGTCTCTTGAATCAGTCCATGTTTCATTCACCAACACTATAACAGCACATATCGTGTGTTGCCTTCTCAATCACAGAAAAAAAATTGTAACACATTTCACACTTGATTATGATTCGCTATGCATGACTAGATTTAATCAATTGAACTGGCCACTTTGTAAATTAAATGCTGTAAATGAACCAACCCCGAAGTTGCTGTCACTGGGCAACTCTTTACAAGCTACTGGTTATAAATAAATCACATCACAAAACTTTATCACATCTAACACAGGCACTAGTTCAGATTAGTAAAGTTTTAGTTAAGATCCAGTCAGCTCAGATTGCACTGGACAGTAAAATCTGAGGGAAAAAACTAAGTAGTATCTTATTATTTAGAAACTGTCTTGACCGGACCTCGGCCACGCACACACTGAAGGGGGGAGATCTGTGAGGGGCGACCTCACAGGCCCGCCCACCAGCGGGGGCCGTGACCGGACCAGGGCATACTACTATATATTTATTTTAAAAAATTACTACAAATGTAATTAAAGCAAATAAAATTATACTGACCACTTCCAAGTATTCATATGTCATTACACCCCCCACCTCCTCTCCTCTGCCGTCTGCTTATTTCCGTTCCATTTTCTCCTCTATTCATATCTCTTTTTTGGTGTCTCCTCTCCACCATACTCCTGAAAAGAAACAAATAAGACAAAATGGAATATTTAGAAATTCAGATGAAGTGGGAACCGATGACTCC